AACAGATGAACCTCACCGCAGCTGTAGACCACACACACATTTAATCAACAACATATGATCACCAAAATCTTATCACTAATTTCATATACTGAAAATCGCATCAACAGCATGTGGAACATTCAGTTATTGTGTTTTAAAAACATTAAACCATCTGAATAATCCAAGTGTTACAATCCTCAGTGAATTCATCTTTATGTCTACGACGTAACGCATAATAACATGTTCACCTGCCGACCATAACAGAACCTGAAGAACTTCAGGTCCGATGGCTCTGATGGACTTTAAAGGCCTCTGCTCTCTGTGGAGCTAATTAGTGACTGAACATCTTCATCACCTGAGAGTTTCAAGTATTTTTATGTCAAATTATTTAAACTTTTTAGCTTCTGAAATTTAAAATGCTGCAACTGCACAGTAATTTCCCGGTTGGGATGAAGAAAGTACATCTATCTATCTATCTATCTATCTATCTATCTATCTATCTATCTATCTATCTATCTATCTATCAAACATGGAATTAAACTAAATGAACAAATCTGTGCTAGAGTTCAGATCCTGTCTAAAAATATCCCAACCCAAATGAGTCGATTCAACTGGTTTAACTTTAATTATTGGCCAAATGTTGAATTAAACCCAGCATAACATTTTAATTAAGATTTTACTGATTTTTACTGCATGATATATTCTCATTAACGTCTGTCCCTTAATTTCTTTCTCCAACTCCTCTGTTTTAAAGAAAGATCACTTCATCAATTTTATAGGTCTTTTTATAAATAAAAAGAAAATATTTAGTGAAAAGAGGATGGATACATATATTTTTTCTTTTTTTTAACATTTTTGACAAATTATGTGAAAAAAAAAGCAGTTCTAAGCCGTATTACTGGAACCTTCAGTGTCATTCTGTCCTGCTAATTCATTGCAATTATTCAATAAAAAATCTACTGAAAAACTGATAACTTCCATTTGTAATGCATTTATCTTCAAAAATGGTAGCTGTTATTATAATCTTTAAAAGCAGTTACTGAGGCACAGAACATTTCGTCCTAGTTTTTGCATTTTCAAATTTATAATTTCTCATTATGAATAATGAAAATTCTTTCTCCCTAGATTGAAATAAACATCTGAATCTCACATTAGTATTTCCCGGTTGTTTATTTGATAGCAAAACAGTTTATGAGTAAAAACGTGGAAAAATAGAGTTCAGTTAGGCCAGATCTTTCCTTAAAAAGTCATTAACTAAGCAAATATTTACAAAATCAATTTGTTCAGGAATGTTTTCTACTGCAGGTTTAATCGTAGTGATGTTTAAAGACTTTCCATTTAATGCTTAAAATCTATTTTCATTCTTTATTTCCATCTTTTATTGCATTTAGTTAACTTTTCGGTTCTATTAGAGATAACAATCATTCAGATCAACACTTTATTATGAGTAAATACTGTTGTACAGATCGAGACGCTGTTACAAAAGATTCCAATCCCCACAATGGAGATCTTACAGCGATGCATTCACCATCAAACAACTGAAAAGAATAAAATATATACACAACTATACATTTTCAAGCAAGCATCCTGTAAATACTCAAAATCTGTACAAAGCAACCAATCCTGAACATTATGAAAAAACAAAATAACACACACACACACACACAAACACCCCCCCCACACACACACACACACACACACACATTAAAGTTGCAGAACAGGAAGCGAATAATTTTTAAATCAGTCATTTCTGTTATACAATTAAAATATATACACTAGCACAACAAGGTCAGGTGATTTGTTTTTTTTTTTAATTATGATTTTCTTTAAGGATAAAGATTGGTGAAAGAGAAACTAATATGGGGCTTACATTCTGTTTTCTTTTATTGGTAAATATCCAAAGAAGACAATTTGATTCATTCGGTTTTCCTGCTGCTCAGCAGCCGCCTGATGTATCCGGTGATGGCGCTCATATTCAGGCCGTACACTACCGGGTTTAACACGGTCGGAACCAGAACGACCAGCACCGAAGTTAGCACAGAGGATGCAGGCTGATCTCCGGCCTGCAGGCGGCGCTGCAGAAGCTCCACCGCAGTACAAGCGCTGTAGTTTAGGAAGACCAGCAGGTGCGGCAGACAGGTGCGCAACGCTTTGCCGCTGGAGCCGCTTACGCGGCACAGGGAGATATAAAGGATGCTGCTGTAGGAGAAAAGAACGAAGGCGACGGGCAACAGGCAACAAGCAACAGAGATGAACAGGGCGAAAACTTCGCTCAGCAGCGCCGCGTTCCCGCCGCAGCTGAGTCTGTTTAAACTGTAAACATCACAGTAGAGCCTATTGATATGAGAGCGGCAGAGCGGCTGGCGCGCGGCAAGAAGCGCTGCGCTCCCAATCATAGCGGCAGGCAGCAGCCAACAGAACAGGAGCAGAGCGGCAACCGCGCGCGGCGACACCAGCGCAGCGTAGCGCATCGGGCGACAGATCGCGACATAGCGATCGAAGGCCATGGCCGGCAGCAACAGGAAGGCCGAGGCCCCACAAGAGTAAACCACCCACGCCTGACACGCACACGCTGACAGTGTGACCAGAACAGAGCCGCTCTCCCACAGCAGGTCCCACAGCAGCCGCGGGTAGACCGCGCTGCCGCCCAGCAACGAGTTCAGCAGCAGCGCGGCTATGAACACGTACATGGGTTTATGGAGGCTGTGGCGCGTGCAGATCACTACCAGCACGAGGCCGTCGCTGCACAGCGCGAACAGGTAGGCTGAGAGAAAGAGGAAGAAGAAGAGCAGCCGGTGATCAGACAGCTGCTGCAGGCCGTCGAGCGTCAGCGACGTCTGCGCGACGAACAGCGAGACGTTCAAAGCCGCCAAGGACATTAGAAGATCAGAAAGGAAACAGAAAAACTAGATGGAGAACAGATGAACCTCACCGCAGCTGTAGACCACACACACATTTAATCAACAGCATATTATTGTAAACATCTAATCAAAACATCTAATCAACAATATCGAGAAACTGGATCAACTGAACGGGAAACATTTAAAGAGATTTACAAACATTCAACCATCATTTAATTAATCTGATCGTTTGAATCCTAAGCGACTTAATCTTCACATCTAAACCATAACACATAACAATGTGTTAACCAGCCGACCATAACAGAGTCAGAACCTGAAGAACTTCTGGTCCGATGAGCTCAGTTACTTTAAGGGCCTCTGCTCTCTGTGGAGCTAATTAGTTACTGAACATCTTCATCAGCTGAGAGCATCAAATACTTTCAGGTCAAATCATCTAAACCTTTTAACCTCTGAAATGTTTTATCGAAGGAAGAACTTTTGAAACTTGGAATCAGACAAAATCCACATTGAAACCATTCAGTTAGAAAAATGTAAAGATGGTGCTATTTGAAAAAGAGAGACCAGAAAACGGTCAGAAATCTACCTGGTGGCATAATCATGGTGAGGGCTTTATAATTACAATACAGACTGAGGAAAGTTTGAGATTTAAAGGCTGATGGACCAATTAGAATAATATAAAGTTCATATTTTTAATTTGCAATCAAAAATTTCTGTTCTTCAACATTCCATCAATTCTGCTAAATAAACTGACATTTGAAATCATTTCATTCAGTCCAATACAAACTTATTTTTCTTCTTAATTTTGGATTTTATTTGCAACATAAACAAACAAATCCAACATTCATTAATGTTTGAACATAAGAGTATAAGTTCAGTTTTCTGAATAAATGTTTTTAAACCAGATTATTGATTACCGAACAGTTCTTGATCATATCACTCTGTTGTCTTCAATTCATAATTTGGTTCTTTCAGTTTCCTGCCAATACAACCAAAGTTTAATGTTATGACGTTTCTCCTACATATTAAAATCATTGAGCTTTAGATGAAAAAAACTCATATTTATTTCACATCTTAACATTTGCATTATTTTTGCCATCCTTTTTCTTCTCATTAAACACGTTTCTTTCTTCTCTTCTAGATTGCTCTATTAGCAGAATATTTCATTCTGCTTTTTTACATTTTCACATTTGCTTCTCATTTTAAAAAAAGAAAGGGGAAGCTTTATGTTGTGTTCCTCAAAATGGTCCATCCACTCTTCTATGGCCCTTTTAACAGAAATCTATCAAATGTTACATTTCGTCTTCTTTGTTTATTGGCTAGAAAATCAGTTATGATCTGATATTATGTACCCATTGTATCAGATCACTAAACACAAGCATATAAAGGAAAAAAACTTTGACTAGACCAGTTTTTTCTTAAAACCAAGTCATAAACTATAAGGAGATTGTTGAGAATAAATAATTCTGTGTTTTCCTTCTATCTCTGTTAGCTAGTTGCTAAGCTAAAGCTAAGCTAAACCTACAGGATGACATGTTATGAAATGCAAATGAGAGCTCTGCTTAGAAGAAATGACACACTAGGGAACGCCCTGTTTGGGGCGTCGCTTAGACAGGCCAATAAAAGAAGCTACCAACTGTTGCTTGTTGGTAGCTATGTGTCTGTTAGCTCTTATAGGTAGCAGGTCATAATGTGCCAACTGTATTTTGGTATTAATACATGGAATTCATGAATGTGTACGGAGAAACAATCACCTGATGATCCTTATTTATAAACCTCTACTCGGTTTGGCTCCAGCATATTTAAACTCTCTTTTACATAGATCTATTAATTCCCATTCTTTACGTTCCAACAACATTTTTCTTTTGCATGTTCCTTGTTGCCGAACTGAAAAAGGAAAGCAAGCTTTCAGTGCGATGCTCCTTCAGCCTGGAATCAGCTACAGTCTGAACTCAAGATGTCAGAATTGATTTCACTGGATTTATTTCGAGCGATTCTTAAAAACAGGCAACATGATTCTTTTAAACAGTGTCACTGTTTTTAAATTGTTTTATACTGTTTTATATTTGTGTATATGTATTAATCAATTTTGTTTTGTAACCAGGTTGCTGTGCGCTGTAGGCTTCTGCCCAGGTCCCCCTTGAAAATGAGATCTGGATCTCATTGGGGTTTACCTGGTTAAATAAAAAATAAAAAATTCAACTCTGACTCTTTTTCCAGTTTCACAAACTTAGCATGGAGAACGGATGATTCTCACAAGATATTTATCATAATTGTCCAAGAATGTTTTTTGCTGAAATAAATAAGGCAGTGGTGATTCAACACTTTAATTTCAATTGTTAAAATCAACATTTCTTTAAGTTTTTTTTTTTGCCATTGCAGCTTAGTTCAGTTTTCTTACTTCTCCTGTAACAATGTTTCTGATCTAAGCTGTTAATCATGATTACTGCTGTACAAATACTGAAGCTGGATATTTAAAATGGCTTATCTTAGTTCTGTGTTTATTTGATTTACAAAAAAAAAAAAACCCTATGGAACAAAATCTACACATATGTAAAATTTCAATAAGGAAACCCCTATAAATGCAGAAATATTTCACAAAGAAGCAGTTTCTACACATGTTTTTTACATCATAGAAAACACATGAAAAGTGCAAAACAGACTCTTTTTCAAATCAGTCAAGATTTAAAATTTATCAAAAATGTTAAAAATACATTAGTATAACAGGCTGGTGTGATTTATTTTCTTTCAGCTATAAATTTTCATCCTTAAATATCCAGATCCAGAAACAATCTGTTAACATTTTACAGTTTTCCAGGCCCTGATTCGTTTCAAATCATTCGGTTTTCCTGCTGCCCAGCAGCCGCCTGATGTATCCGGTGATGGCGCTCATATTCAGGCCATACACTACCGGGTTTAACACGGTCGGAACAAGAACGACCAGCACCGAAGTGAGCACAGAGGATGCAGTCTGGTCTGCGCCCTGCAGGCGGCGCTGCAGAAGCTCCACCGCAGTGCAAGCGCTGTAGTTTAGGAAGACCAGCAGGTGCGGCAGACAGGTGCGCAACGCTTTGCTGCTGGAGCCGCGTGTGCGACACAGGGAGACATAAAGAATGCTGCTGTAGGAGAAAAGTACAAAGATCACGGGCAGCAGGACAGTAGCAATAGAGATGAATATGGCGAAAACGTCGCTCATCTGCGCCGCATTTCCGCCGCAGCTGAGTCTGTTTAAACTGTAAACATCACAGTAGAGCCGGTTGATGTTGGAGCGGCAGAGCGGCTGGCACACGGCTAAAAGCACGATGATCAAAACCATAGTGGCGGGCAGCAGCCAACAGAACAGGAGCACAGCTTTCACTGTCCGGGGCGACACCAGCGCGGCGTAGCGCATCGGGCGGCAGATCGCGACATAGCGGTCGAAGGCCATGGCCGTCAGCAACATAAAGGCCGAGCCGCCCACTGTGTAAACAACCCACACCTGACAAGCACACGCTGACAGTGTGACCAGGACAGAGCCGCTCTCCCACAGCAGCTCCCACAGGAGTCGTGGGTAGATCGCGAAGCCGCCCAGCAGCGAGTTCAGCAGCAGCGCGGCCACGAACACGTACATGGGTTTATGGAGGCTGTGGCGCGTGCAGATCACTACCAGCACGAGGCCGTCGCTGCACAGCGCGAACACATAAGCCATGAGGAAGAGGAAGAAGAAGAGCAGCCGGTGATCAGACAGCTGCTGCAGGCCGTCGAGCGTCAGCGACGTCTGCGCGACGAATAGTGAAAAATTCAGGGCTGCCGCGGACATTAGAAGAGCAGAAAGGAAACAGAACAAGATGGAGAACAAATTAACTTTACCCTACAGCTGTAGACCAAACTCATATTTGAGCAACAATATCTGATCATCTGAAAATGAAACATTCAATTATTAAAGTTATTGTGATTTATAAACATGAAACCATCAGTGTTTGAATCTTCAGCGAATTAATCGTCACGTCAAAGTCAGAACACATAACATGATCACAGTCAGAACCTGAAGAACTTCTGGTCCGAAGAGCTACGAGTTACTTTATGGGTCTCTGCTCTCTGTGGAGCTAATTAGTGACTGAACATCTTCATCACCTGAGAGAATGAAACAAATGTCAAATCAAATGAACTTTTTATGAAAGTCTATGTGCAAGAATGAAGCACTGAAAATGGGAATTAAACTACATGGAAAGCATACGGTTAGAAGAATCCTAGATTAGATTTAGCCATTTTAGTACCTATAATTCAAAATGAAGAGTCCACCACTGAGATGGGTTTAGGTAAAATATTGCAGAACTACATAAATTTACACAAAAATGTCAAAATTTGCAAAAAAATATAAAGATTTCAGCTGAACAGAAACAAAACTGAAGTTATCTTTGGACCTAAAGATGAGCGAACTACAGTCAATGCGCAGCTTCAGTTATTACAACTGAAAACCAGCGATCAGCCC